AGTTCGACATTGGCTGGTGCAAGGAAGTTCGGAGTTATATATGGCCGAGTGAGGAGTTTCTGGAAGTCTTCGAAACTGAAGGAATCACCAGACTGGGATTGTGAAGCAGCTATTAGGAACGAAATAGAGTTTATCGAAGTTTGCTTAAGAAATGTAGCAGAGAAGTAAGAAGATGAACAGTAATATTGCGAGAGAGAAGCGTGAAATAAAGAGGCGTGATTTAGTGGTGCAATGAAATGGCGTGTATTTAGGGGTTATAAGGGTTTGCAAACGTCGCACCTTTTCAGGCTATAGAAGAAGACAATGATTGAAATTCTTGGAAATTTCGAATGTTGCTGGGAAACACAAAGTGAATATGGCAAAAAATTAATAATTGGTATTAATTCTGCCATATTGGGGGGTAATTGTTGACACACAAAAAGTTCAACCCAAATCGAATAGCCCAAACAATGAAGCCCAATTAGAAGATCCCCAAATCAGATAGCCCAAAGAACGGCCCAATCAGGCAATTCAGGATAAAGACCCAAATAGGGAAGCCCATGAACGCGGTAATACCATCGTCCAAGCTTGCAAGTCGTCCAAGATTTGAGTGAATGGATTACCATGCAGTCGCCCAGAACTGTGACCCTGTTCTCACCCAAACCTTCGAGTCGCCCAGGATCTTAGCAAACATAAGATGTTATGGTTACCCAAAAGTGCGGTTAATGAAGCAGTTATTGAGGAGCCCTGTCACGTTCCACGATTCAAAGAATTCAATTGAAGACGGTTGAACGACCAAAAGTAATGGCAGCAGTTAGAGAAGGCAGTTCCATGACAAGTTGGCCACCATGAAGAAAGTGGACAGTTATAGAGTGATCAAGCAGTTTTTAAGTGGTTGATCACGAAGAGGTCATCCAATGAGTATAAAAGGAAGAAAAGATATAGAGTAAAAGGACCCCGAATCAAACACTCTCAAACAGAGAATATGTAACTTTCAATTTCTTAGTTTAGATTTAAACACTTCTTTTCAGTAACTCGTGTGCTTGCGCCCCTTGGAGGCATTCTATTTTATTTTCCAATTGTAAAGTCATCGCCAATAAAAACACGCCTTTTTGAGACTTTGTCTCAAGAGGTTTGTCCTTTACACAATCGTCTGATCCCTTTTTAATTGTTAGTGACTAACCCGCGCGAAACAGTTACCATCATATGTAAATAAAACTTATAAAAGCTAACAGCGGCATTAAAGCGTGTTAATATTATCTACCAACGATGTATGATCCTTAAAATTTTTTGCATTTGATGCGAGAATTTTAAACCTTCAACCTAATAGCATCCTGAGGATTTCTGCTCACTGTACACTATCAAAGGAGAAATCATAAGATCTAGAGAAAAGTGGCAAATCGCTGTGTCCGCATTCGAATTTACCCAGGTGGCAAATCAGGGGAAAGGTCGTCATTCCTCAGGATTAGTCGGATGAAACTCGGACACCTAAGTCATCCAAAAAAAAAAAGGCAAATCTAGAGTTCTAGAGTTAGCCAAAAACCACTACCAAGACAAAAGTAGACCAAAAATACTATCAATGACTACTCCCTTATCAAGTAACAAAATCTTGATCTTTAAACTGTAATTTTATCAAGAAGTGAACAATGAGAATTATTTTGTAAAAATGGCAAACCTAGGTATTGGTAGAAGTATGGATTAGGGCTTGAAAGAAGTTGGGAGGCAAAAAGTGGAAGACAAAAACTTGTGCAAATGGGAAAAGTGAAGAAAATATTTCATAAATTTTGTGGTGTCAGTTGACCTCACATGAGCTCATGTAAATCCGTCCATGTGTAAGAAAGGGAAGCTACGTACCCGCACCAAACTCCAAATGACTATTATACTATTAAAAACGATATTTAAATAAATACATGTACTCATTTTCTGATAGCTAATGTTTTCAAATGAGATGTTTAACACATCAATCAAATTTATACTTACAATCAATTCCAATGCTTGCTTTAACACATCAATCAAATTTATACTTACAATCAATTCCAATGCAATTTTATTTTTAAATTAGTACATGAACATTTACAATCGAGCTTATGTTGTACATGATTTGGGCATATACGTATTAACTCATTACACAGTGTATAAAATTGATGAGTTTCTTGTAACTTAATTAGTATTTCATCGTCAACCGCAAGTTACAAGCTACTACGATTATATTGTGTTGGATGTCTGTTGGTGTCTTTGGACTCCCTGGCTTTATTGTAAACCTTATGTATTGATTTAAGAATTTTGACCCTAATTCTTTTTTAGTTGTCAAACTTCTTTCAAACTTTAGTATCGCTCAACCATGTACAAGTACATACTGTCGTATATCGTGTTGATACATGGGATAAAGTTCATGTTTGGTTTCGATGCTATGGGTAAAGTTCATGTAGAATTCGTGTAATTTACTTTCCAAGTGTATGTGATGTCATTTCCATGTTGGAATTCCATTTTTCGCGTAATATCCTGTTAATTTTTGACATAAACTGAAGACCTCGAACTAATTAACATTCTACACTTGCCAAATATCTAAAACAAAATTACTCTTGTCAACCATTTGAAGTATAATCTAGGGAAAAAATCATAAACCAGGCTTTAAGTATGGCTACTTCAAATATCAGGCCCAAAGTTCTAAAATGCAAAAATCAGGTTAATTAAGAATATTTTATTAATAAAGTATATTAAGATCACATATATACGATTCATGGTCACATATACGTACTTAAAGGTCACAATGTCACATATTATGAAATTAATTGGTCACAGATCGAAAATATTATGCGTTACCATTTTTTTGTCGGTCACAGATTTTCATATTAGTTGTTCACATATTATTTTTAAGTCACAAGTTATCAAATTTTTAGGTCATAGTTTATTTGTCCATCACAGATTTGGTCACAAATTATTTTTAAATCACAAGTTATAAAATTTTCTGGTCACAGATAATCAAATAATTCGTTACAAACCACCGTCACTTGCCACCACCATCGCCAGCACCACAACATCAACATGATACCACCATCACCACCATCGCACCACCAGCAGCACCACCACTACCCCAACACCGCACCACCACCACCATAGCATCAACACTGCCAAAGGTACCATACACAGTACCAGCAACACAACCACACATACCATCACAAGCAGATCACACCAACTCGTCACAGACTCCCCACTACCGCCAAATCCACCCTAAATCCACTGCACCACCATCACCACCGGTCCACCACCAACACCATCAACATCTGCGACGCAACTGGTCACGATTCTTGCAACAAATTGTCGTTCAACGTTCTGCAAAATCGGTTGCCATCTTCGGTCTGAAAAGCAATGGCGCAGCATATCTTCTCGGCGGCGATTCTTCACCCGACGGCGCTGCTGAAATTATTGGAGTTTGGAGGATTGGGTGGAGATATTTGGCCGTCGAGCTCCTGGCCGGCAATGACGGTGGGCGGCGATAGCGGGAAATGATTGCCGGAATGGTACAGACGGGAGAGAGAGGCGAGGGTGTGTTTGAGCGAGAGAGGAATATGAAATGAAATGAATTAGGATTTTAATATATAGGGACCTGATTTGTGCACAACGAAACTTCATCTCAGACTTTTGAACTGTGATCTCTAAGTACCTGGATTTATGTAATTTCCACTATAATCTATGTGGGGAAGCCCCTTGTCCAGGGCCACATGGGCCTGAACAGGCCCCGCAACCAATAGGGGGTGCCATTTGTGCAGGGCCCATGTGGCCTTGGACGTCAAGCCTATGTCAATCTACGTAGTGCACCTATAAGTTTGTACAAGATGGGAAAAGAGGAAAAGCGTACAACTCTAGCTTATATAAAGATGGTTGAATCGTTGGTCATTTTTTTAAGCACCACTGGACAATATATATTAACCTTTCTTCCTTAATATGGTCTAATTTATATATATTGTACATAGCATTAGATAGTATAATGTACATCACACTAACATTGACTAGTCTGTGTTACCAAATAATTCTTTAATGTTTTCTTAGTACAACAAAATTATTGCCAAACAAAAGTCCATCGCTGGCTGAAGAGATGAATTACACCACAACTTTATAATTGTAGAGGGTTCCTGTGGCGAAGCTAGAATTTCAAATTAGGACGAGCTATTTTTTATTTTTTGAAATGAGCAAATATATCATTTTTTTTCATATATGAATCCGTGGATCGAGCCATGGACCGTCCATGGGTATTCGGTTAATAGCTACAAAATATGTTGAATATACACAGTGCTTCGTAATAAATCGTTATAAAGTAAATATTTACTACCTTTAAAACAACTAGGCACCCGTTTGGTATTGATTAAAATTCGAATTTAAATCTAAATCAAAGCTAACAATCAATTTTAACCACTTATTTTATAGGTTCCACAACTTTTCAATCACTTATTTAATCAACTTTTATTAAAATTTACTAAAAATCTAATTTTAATCCCTATCAAATAAAAGCTAAAATAAAAGATAATTGAAACTTTAGAAGATCCAAAGCACATCATGAGCAGTACATTATATTCTGAGTCTTTTATGAGTGGGAAAGAATGGAAATCAAGTCTAGAAATGTTAAGGTCACAAACTAATAAATGCACACTTGGAAAAACACGCAGATATCTGTGTAAGAATGTCTAATGAACCTACAAGTCACGCAGAAGTTTCAAAATTACATCAAATCAAAACCGTTTTATGGTGTGCTTGACAAGACTTCGGTTCTTACTCATACTTGTCGAAGAGTTTCAAGAGAAAATTATGTTATGTTAGCCTCTCAAAAATCCTTCTAATTCAATAAAGCACTAAATCCTTCTAATCCGATAAAACACTTTCAAAAAATTATCCAAATATTTTAAAAATTAATTTCGGGAAACAATACTAAACAAACAACAAAAAAAACTAAAATATTATACATCGTACTGTCTAATCGTATTTAGTACTAAGTATGAAACATATATTAAGGTTTTCTATAACTATTCTACTTATAATATCCAATGTTAATACAAAATCTGAGAAAACAATCATAGTGGATAACAAGTTTCTGACAGCAGAAATTTTCTAAGGTTTCCAAATGCATATCATGAAAGTCCGCAGTAGTAATTCAAAATTTGACAGAGTAATTTTCACACACAATATAAATCTATGTGTTTGTAATTATAACTCGAACCCTAATTCTTCATGAATGCTGAACATATCTGAAGGCCACAGATTGAAAGTCATCAAAATCATTTGGATATGCCCATTGCCTGTTATTTGATTGCATTTCGAGTGAATCCATACTACCATATGAAATGTTTTCTTGTGGAAAAACAGGACTTTCACACTTCACAATAGGGTTCATTGTGCCTCTTTGAGGATACAATATGTCTGTCAAACTATTGTCTATGTTTGTGCAATATGTGGGCATCGTGTCTTGATTTTGGCAGGATTGAAACCAGCTTAGAACGTCTTGTCGGAAAGAATGGCTTTCATCGTAAAATTTATCATTAGGGTTTCCATTGTTGGAGCCATTTAAGGACTGAGATGCTTGTTCCTTAAGAGAAGCTAATTGGGCTTGGAGATTGACTACCTGAAAAAATAAAAATGGAACAAAATGTCAATGAATTTGGGAATATGTAACAACAATAAGTGCATTTGTGACACGCAATATTGAACATGACTCTAGTGTTGTCAGCTATTAATCAAGAATCTTCATCCCCAAATATGTCATCACGATTGGACAAGAACGTTGCAAAAAATGACATTAGTAACATGAATTTATTAAATGTTGCTAAATCTCAATTATGTTAACCAATGACATCGTTCACTTATAAGAATGTTGCAGTAGATCCTTTTAACAACATTCAATTAACGAATGTTGCCTTTTGCGTGTTGCAAAATGCCACTTTTATTGTAGTGCTTTAATAATCAACGAATGCTAAATTGAACAAGATTCGCAAGATCATCAAGATTGAAATTTTTTTCTTATTTCATAGTGTTTAGTACAATTCAATAATTGTCCCCTGCCAAACACACTATTAGGGTTGAATTAACACTAATCTTGATTTCAACATGAATGAACAAAAAGAAAATGCATACCTGTTGTTGGAGGGCAAAGATATGAGAAACACAGCCATAAATAGGATCTTGAAGCCTAGCCTGAGCTTCATAAGCAATCGTGATGGCCGCTTCACACCGATCGGTCACTGGAAGGTGAGCAAGGAGTTTCGACACATTGCTTGCACCAAAAACCTTATGGATGGCTGCAAAATGTGAAACACCTTGTTCATGACAGAAATAAGGTGCAAATACACAACCCTTAGCACATTTTCTTCTTAAGAATTTGCAGGCACCACAAGGGGAACCAGATCCTGACATTCTTGATCTTGATCTTATTGCTTTTGATTGATCTTATTTGGGCTAATTCACTGATAATTTTATGTTCTTAGCTTATTTTCAAGTGCTATCTCCATGTTTATAAACACCAGAGGGGAATAGGGGTGTATCATATAATATTATTACTTAATTAAAAATGGTTCCCTTGTTGGGTTACAGAATTCATTATTTTTTTCCTCTTAGAAGCTCTCTTTAACCCTTCAATTTTTATTTATACTTTTATTCAAGATTCATTCTCTTTGTTGATTGGATTTTACTCAGATCTTCTGGGTAGAAAACTGAATTGCAGGTATTAAGAATTGAACAGGAGTTGTCCTTCAGGATTATTTCAGGAATTTACTTATTTAAGTTTTAACCTGGCCCTTCATGTAGAGGCTTTCTTCATTTTTTTATCAATTACCCGATATCTGAAATTTTCATAAAGTAAAACTCAAAAGCATGATATTTATCTGTCGTTGTTAAAAAAAAACTTATCTAAAAGTTTTAATAAATAAAGAAAGGAGGTACTTAATTATTCATATATAATTAAATTAAATACTACTGTTTTGGTGCTTTGTCTTGAACCTAGACAAGGAATTAAAGTGCTGCACGATTTAAAATGCCCTGATATATAATCATTGAACAAGACTTGAGCTGGCAGTGAGCGACAACAAAAATGACAGGTGAAAATTTAATTAAATTTATTAATTCTACACATTTTAATTAACTCATCCAATACAAAATTTGTTTATGTCCCTCCAAATATCATTTAACCTTTGACCACTATATCGTATTGTAGTATCAATGAGCTGTTATCATTTATGTGTAGATGGAAATAAGATAAAAAAATTTATTTCATTACAATATTATACATTTCGTATAAATAATATTTCCTATTATTTAAGAATGAGATATTAGAAGCATCAATAAGAATTATAAATTCTTATCACCGCCACCCTCAATCTTGCATAGACTCTATTAAAAAAATTATTTCATTACAATATTATACATTTCGTAGAAATTATATTTCCTATTATGTAAGAATGGGATATTAGAAGCATCAATAAGAACTATAAATTCTTATCACCACCGCCACCCTCAATCTTGCATAGACTCTATTGATTTATTAAAATCAAACATGATAATTTAAGCCCCCATTTGGCCCCCATTCTTGCCAAAATTTAGGCTGCGATTGGTTTGACGTTTCGGGCCATTTTTCGTTCCGTTTTCAAAAACGTGGAAAACGTGTTTGGTCCATAGTTTTCGAAAATGCAATAGTTAAAATTTATAACTGAAAACGCAAAACAACTTTTTATCATTTTGAGCGTTTTCAGTTATAAATTCCCAAAATGTGGAAAATGTCTAAAACACGTCGTTTTCAAGGAAAACTAAAAATCGTTTTGAAACCGAAAATGGAAAATGGAAAATGGAAAACTAAACCAACCGCACCTTTAATGGTTAGAATAGTGTTTTTTTGAAAAATGTGTGGTTGAAAAAGAATAAAAAGTTTTTGATTTACGTATAATATTATTTTATGGAAGATAGTGTGGTTGAAAATAAGAGAGATAAAAAGAATGAGAAGGAGAATGAGGGTCAAATGGGGCTAAAAGGATGTAAAAATGAGGCCTTCAATATGCACGAAGAACATATACTTGTTTTATAATCTGTATTTTCTACGTCGTCTCACATTTTCAATTGATTTGAATATAAACACATGCACTTATTGGTTCCAGCATGAATGAATAATATAAGATAAACTTTTTTCCCTAGAACTTAGAGCTTTTAACTTTTACTCTTGTTTTCGAGGAGAAACAGAACAATAATAATGTCCATATCATGAGCAATTGTCTAATGTTTAATGCACTAAGCACTACATGATTGTTCACTGCACTTAGTCTTTGTTTGTTGATCATTTTACAACATTTTATTACATTATTTTTTATATAGGATTCATTTTCATTTATACATTTTTCATTAAAATAATATTATACATAAATTAAAATTTTTTCATTCTTTTAACAGTATATTTCAACATCAATCACTATTCCTTTTTTTTAACCACACATTTTAACATCAATCACTGTTTCATAATATACTTTTGAAAATTAAAGGGACACAAACAGGCCCTTAAATGTTGCAAAAAGTAAATGATAAAATTAATAATTAATTTTAACTATACATTTCATCAATTATTCAATCATATATTTCATCAACTTTTAACAAAATTTGCTAAATTATTATAAGAAAAATAATTTGTCAAATGACTAGGGATAAAAATTAAGGGGCTGTCTGGTAGTGCTTTTTTGTTGATTTTGAGCAATTATCTGATCATTACCCACTAACATATGAGACCCACGTTGACAGCAATATTTAAAGGTCTACTAGTGAAATACCTAAATTGCCTATTCGTCATAAACAGTGATTATACTGTTTAGGAAAAAATGATCATTCTACCCTAAATTGGTCCAACATTGAGACTGCTATCTTTGATTTCTTGCCATAAATGTCTGTCAAACTAAAAAGCTACGGTCACAATTTCCCTACAAATTAAAATGAGAATTTCTATCAGACAAGCGCTAAATGAGATAAGAACGAGTTGGAGAGTACTCAAAATCAAATGAAACAAAAGATAGTGACAGAACCACCTAAATACGGAAAACACTTATTATTTGTTTAAGTTTAGCAATTTACAGTTTGTTGAGCAATAATTGTAGTATGATCGTTAACTAATTGTATATGTAAGCGTCTCTTTGGCTCCATTATTTCACATTATAATGAGAGGAATAGTAATATTTAAAAAAAAATGTGTGATTAAAATAGAATGAAAAGTTTTTGAGTTTACGTATAATATATTTTATTGGAGAATATATGGTTGATAAGAAGAGATAGAAAATTGAATTATAATTTAATGATGAATAATGGGCTAAATATTAAATAATTTGAATCACTTTGTTGTGTCACATTTAGGTTCCAACAAGTGGACATTGCCCAAAGCTGCATTTATTCCCTCACTTCCAACACTAACAATGACCCAGCAACTGAATCTTGAGGAGAGGGTAATGCAGCTTCAACTCTTGGAAAGGCTATGGCTTAGAAAGTGTTAGGTGAATTTTTTTATTTTATTTTATTTATTTATTTATTTATTTTTATCTTAAACTGATCGACCTTTTGATAAGGTCAACTGTACAACATTAAATTATACTAAAAAGTGAAATAATTTAGATATCATTATAATGGTATTGAACTTTTAGGTCTCTCTTCTCATAGGATAGCAAGCTCGTGATCTCCCTCTATCATCATATGAAGGTAGCATAGGAGCATAGCCGCACTATCCTTCTTTTAAGACTTACATGTATTTCTTTCCCTTTAGACATGCAATGTTCAGTTTAATTGCCCTAAATGACATGACATTTATTTTACACTAAAAATTAGTACACTCACTGATTGATGCAAGATATCATTTACTTATTTTAAGGACTAAATTTAAGTAAATGCATTTCATATGTCTAACATCTTAAACTAGAAATTGGATCATTTATTATAGAAACCTTCTTAGCGTACAAGTAAGAATTCGCAGAACCCCTAATTGACACCTCACATGGGGGTGCGTGGGTTAATTTTTTACCATTTCTTATTCAGATGGGCCCACGGATTTGTGAGTTATCTAGTTGGATTCTGTGAATCCGGCCTCTGTGCACGATGAATTTTTCTTCATTATAATTTTAAATAAAGCCTAGGTTAATAGGACTGATGACAAGTCTAATCAATGGATTGGATAACACATTTGGAAATACAAATAGATTCATTCATAGATGGCAATATTATTGCCTCCCTGGCAGCCATTATCCCTGCACAGAGAATCAATGGCTTTCAGTCGTGTGTACTTGTTGGCCACTTAAGCATGAAAAGAGGAGATATTACAGACAACAAGCTATGTTAACTTAAGCCCTCGATTGGCTCCCATTCTAAATAAATTTTAATGGTTAAAATAATATTTTTTTTTAAAAAATGTATGGTTGAAAAAGAATGAATTTTTTTTATTTACGTGTAATATTATTTTATAAAAGATTGTGTGGTTGAAAATAAAAGAGAAAGAATGAAAATGAGAATAGGAGCCAAACGAAGGTTTAATGATGTAGAGAATTTTCACCTACAGAAGAATTCCAGATACTCACATGGAGAGTGGGCCTAATGTAAGTAAAATAATCCAAAAAATAAGTCACCCATCCCATGCTGTGTGTATTCTGTAAGATATGTGTAAAAAAATTATTCTGTACGTGTAGCAGCACTCTAAAATTCATTATTTTCATTTCCTAAACTCTATCATCAAATTAATAAAAAATAATTTTAGGAAGGTTATAAAATATTGAAAAATAAATAAAATACTGCATTTGATTCATCGAACATCGTAAAATGTAAATAAAAAATTCTTAAAGTATATCTTCTAATTAATAATATTAGTTCAATGAGTCAGTTAAGATAATTTTTTATATCATCATCATCATCTTATAGCCAATATTAATTCCTTATTTATTTAAGCTTATTATTTATTTTTATTTTCTCTAATTTGTAGAAGAAAAACATATATAAATATCGTTAATAAAATGTATGATTATAAAAATTAAAACGGAAAAAAGTTATGCAAACATTGCAGTGAAAAGTTATTCAAACATTGCAGTGTGCCTCTATTATTTAGTTAATACCTCTTCACTGGTAGTTGACCTTGAGCACGACAAAATAAAGGTCCATTTTGTAATTTTAAATCAACATATAGAAAGGAAAATTGTTTATTCAATAATTACAAATGACACAAGAAACTCTTAAGGCATGTTTACTATGGTTCGAAATTTTGAGTGTTCTAAAATTTATCTTCTAATACTTCTCTGAAAAATATTAAGAATTACAAAGCTATATATAGGATCTTGTCACTTGCACAACTAACTCCCCTATTCATATGGCGTAACAAGATTGCTAATATCTATTCATGGTCTAAATTATCCGAAAGTACTAACGGTGTCATCATATGCATGTTTAGTTGCAAGTTTCCTATTCATAGTATCGTGAGTGTTAACTTACGTTTATGCTAGTAGTCCGTGTAGAGGGGGAGGCTTTCTCGGGGC